CTTCTATAGACCGAGTGACAATGTTGTTTTCGTTGCAAGGAGAGGGGTTTTCTGAGAGCGAGAACTCATAAGCCAAGGGGACAGTAGGAGGAAAATCGATCTTGAAGAGATTCAAGAGTCGAGAGCTGAAGGACCCTCCAACATTGGCTCTCAATCCGAGGAGGAAACTCCGGTTAAACCAATTGATGAGTCCTTACCTCTTAGAGGTTTCGAAAGAGTTAGGGTTCAACCCTAGTTTTTTGGTTTTCATATTACTACAGAAGGGAATATGTTCATTAGTGATAGTACACTAGTGAATTTGGAAGAACCTAACAACTATAAGGAAGCCATGGCAGGCCCGATATCTATGAAGTGAAAAGAGGCGATGGACAACGAGATTCAGTTCATGTACGATAACCAAGTTTGGAGCTTGGTTGATATTGTGCCAGGTCGTAAGACGATCGGGTGCAAGTGGATCTTCAAGAAGACCGACATGGATGGGAATGTACACACTTAAAAGACATGATTGGTTGAAAAGGGCTTTACTCAAACTCCCGGAGTTGACTATGATGAGACATTCTCACCGGTTGCAACAATAAAGTCTATTAGGGTGATGTTGGCCATTACTACATTTCATGACTATGAGATATGGAAAATGGATGTCAAAACCACTTTCCTCAACGGAAAGTTGGCTGAGGATGTTTACATGAATCAGCCAAAGGGGTTTTTCAATGCGAAGCATCCCAATAGAGTGTGTAATCTTGAGAAGTCCATTTATGGACTCAAACAAGTGTCTCGCAGATGGAATCTTTGTTTCGATGAGAAAGTCAAAGAGTTTGGTTTTCTATGAAGTGAGGATGAATCATGTGTATGTGTCAAAGTCAGTGGGAGTATAGTATGCTTCCTCATATTGCATGTTGATGACATACTACTCATAGGAAACGACATCCAGACCATGCAGGAGGTTAATTCCTGGCATGGGAAGTGTTTTGCTATGAAGGACCTCGGAGAGGCTGCCTATATCTTGAGAATAAGGATAGTGAGAAACAGGAGTAAAAGACAAATAGGACTTAGTCAGAATACCACTCCAATTTAATGCCAAGTTGAGTAAGATTCAAAGCCCGAGTACCGAAGTCGAGATAGCAGAGATGAGCAGAGTACCATACGCTTTCGTAGTTGGCTCGATCATGTATGAGATGACTTGTACTCGCCCTGATGTGGCCATTTCTTTGAGCATGGTCAGCAGATATCAAGGGAAACCTAGCAAAGCACATTAGACCGCAGTCAATAATATTCTTAAGTACCTTCGGAGGACCAAGGAATGGTTTCTAGTCCACCGTGGGAGTGATGACTTAAAGGTGCGAGGGTATAGTGGCACTAGTTTTTAGACCGAAAGGGACAACTACCGTTTGCAGTCGGGCTAGGTTTTTACCCTTAATGGAGGAGCAGTGACTTGGAAAAGTTCCAAACAGGAGACTGTAGTTGATTCAACGTGTGAATCAGAGTACATTGCAGCGAGCGAAGTGTCAAAGGAGGAAATATGGTTGAAGAACTTTATTAAAGACCTTGGAGTTGTCCTAGCCATACGGGAGCCTATGGAAATTTTTATGATAACGAAGGTGCGGTTGCGTTGACCAAGGAACCGAGGGATCATGGCAGTTTTAGGCATATCAACAGGAAATAACATTTCATTAGACATCGGGTAGAAGAAGGACTCCTCGTAGTGAAGAGGGTGTCATCAGAGGATAACCCAACAGATCCCCTTACGGAGGGACTGAGTAGGGTTAAGCACTTGTAGCATGCTAGGAGCATTGGGTTGAAGGATGATATTAGTTTAGATTAGATAGTTTTTAAACGTGTAATAGATAAATTGTTATTAACATTTGATGATTAAATAAATGGGTATTATTTATGAGTAAACTTACTATCTTATGTTACTTAATTACCTATTATTTCATTTTGCATGTTTTGACTTCCTGATTAATAAGATTATTCGAACGTTCCACTGTCGCTCATACTTTGGGAGTAGGTATGAAAGAAGATTGTCGTGATTGGTGTGTAGCTTGTCTAGAGTGTATTAGACATAGCAAAAGTTTGCTACAACGTTCATGAGTACATATTAATAAGATTTAAGCATTGTAATAAACCCACGCTTGCTGGAATCACTTCATGGAATTTATCACGAATGATCGCAAGACGATAATATCATATGGTCTTAAAACATAGATATATGGTTTATTGTTTTCTAATTAGTTGTGCATTGATAATGCGTAAACGCATTAGTAACTTGATGATATAAAATGAATTGTTGTGTATGATTTGATTAGTGAATAGTAAATGCATATAAGTCGAAGTTTATCTATTCCTTTTATCATAAGAGGTTAAAAGCGATATCTGGGCCCTTTGATCATTTGGTTTGACTTATGTGCCAGGCCTGGTCAGGACTAAATTGATGTGTTCAATTAAGTTCTGTTTCAGAAGAATCATAGATCAAGAAACAAACTGTTGGACAATAAGTATGACTATGTTCCATGTAATTGTTTGCACGATATCTAGAATAGAGGACTATACGATCCCTTATCTAAAGGACATGTTATTGATAAGATTAGAGTTCGACAGTGTCTTTGACAGCTACGATTGCTAATCTGATTCTATTTGCATTTATATTTACTAGACTTATCCAAGTAGGAGACTGTTGGATTTGTGTCTAAGCCTGTAACCATATTTGGTAAGTACTTGAGTCGGTTATGCATGGTCTTTTTGGGTTGCATTCACCAAAGCCACTTGACATGGTGATTTTTGAAGAGAGAGGATATTATGGTTTATTATTATATTATATGAACAAAATATTAAAGGAGAAATCATATAGTTTATTTAATATTAGAAAAGAATTATTTAAGAATTAATTATGTGACTAAAAGACATTAATTAAATAAGGGGGACTTAAACTGTCAAATGTGATAGTTGAATATTGGGCTGAGAAGCCTTATGGACTAGGGATTGACGAAATTTGGGATGTTTCCATCCTAATTTCGGACATAAGGGCACTATTCCAGAAGCTTCCTTGAATTTCTTAAGGCCTAAGTTGTCCATTAAGGTTTTGACTGAAACCCTAGCAGTACAAGTACAAATAGAACCACTAGGGCATCAGTTTTCGGCCACTTGAAACCCTAGAAGAGTTCATAGCCAAAATTGTGCCTCTCCCCTCTCTCCAATATCATCCTCTTGCTTGTGTGGTGTTTGTAAGCCATTAGAGAAGTGACATTTGTGACTCTCAGCTCATAGACAAGAAGATTCAAGCCATCGTTGAAGAGGTAATCATCTAGATCTGTTTTTGAAATATGTATGTTAAATCTATGGTTCATAAGTCTTGGATGAATTGCATGTACAATAGAAAAACTTAGATCCAATATTTAGGGTTTGCATGTGCACATAGGATGTTATTTTGTGTTAAACCCATCAATACCAAGCGATGTCCCATTTGATGACGAGCCACTAATAATCAGGGTGAAGATCCCGATACATCTTTGTCAGCCCTGGGTGAATGGAGAATCTCGACCTGTGTGCCTCCTCCATCAGAACCTGGTGCACACCACCCCAGTAATGAACCTAGACCCTATGATACACGATCAATAGTCCACGACTATCATAGTCGAATGAAGATACCTGCCCTATGATCCGCTCACACTTCCGGCGGTCCTCCTTTATACCTCGACCTGAACGTCCTGAATCCACTCTAGCAACAGAGTAATCACTATCATCCTCAGGCATATATCCCGAATCGGAGCTGCGGCCGCCTTTCGGCTAAGAGCATTGGCCACCACATTTGGCTTTCCCGGGTGATAAAGGATTTCACAGTCATAATCCTTCACCACATACAACCAACATTGCTGCCTCATATTCAGATTTGGCTGATCCATCAAGTAGCTTAGGCTCTTGTGGTCCGTGTAGTTTTTACAGTGGACCCTGTTGAGATTAAATCTAGAGTGATCGAATAGATTCAAATAGTTAAAAGAATGATGAACACACAATGAGGATCAAATATGTCGTATGATTAATTATCACAGCCTTAGAAGAGCTCGATTAACAACTACTACTATAAAGGCGTGTAGGGTTTACAATACAATTAGACAATTACAAAATATGGTGCATTCATGCACCTTAAATAGCTAAACCATAATAATAAATCATGGGTTGACTAACCCAACCCGGATAAAAAATATACAATGCAAAATTCCACAATGACACAACACTAAATACCCAACACCCCCCCCCCCCATTTGTTAATTAGGATGGAGACCTTTACTGTGGAGTTTACTTCTGCACTGCATAAAGTTTTGGAATTACATTGAGCAGAACTTTGTGAACCTGGATGTATCACATGATCATATTAGAGAAGCACTTCTTACCTACTTTGTTGTTACCTCTAAATTTGTCTACGAAGTCTAAATATACTGCAGGCATGATATGGTGTAAAGATGTTTATCTACGAGAAAGAAAAAAACTTTGTGAAAGTTTGCATCTGTTTGCTGTTTCATTTGAAATGCTATGCACCAACCATCCTTTCGTATCTTCCCAAGATTCATTTGATCAAAACCTTCTGGAGCTTCTTTTGTAAGTGCAATAGGCTTCTTTCACAATACAGCGACAATTTCGACATCCAGTTTGCCAACCTTTTGAATGTATGCGATTAACATCTATTTAAAGTGAGCAACTAGATGTTTGTACTTCTATTCACCCTTAGCAACATATTGAATAGTATAATCCAATCATACGAGTTCAGGAAGGGTAGATCGGCTAGAAAAAATTCGCATACCTGACTCGTAGAACCTCTAGTAACCTTGAAGCGAGCGTTTAGGAAGATATCGGTTTCGATTGGACAATAAACCTTTACACCAATTTTCTTCTTCGCACTCCAGGTTTCGTATTGCAACTTCATGTGCTTTCGGAGTGATTGGTAGATGCAATTGTAAGTCTTGCATGTTTTGCAAATCAAAAGACACAACTGGTTCTAACTAATACTAGCTTGGAAGATCTACAACCTCGCTCATTATATGCTCCAAAGTCAACACTGGGAACAAAAGCTTTGGACTTTCCAGTGTGACTTTAGATTCATGTTCAACACTTTCTTTTTCTTCTACCTCACGAATGATTCGTTGGTGCTTATCCATTTGATCTTCACGACCTCTTCTTCTTTTAAGCTCGTGTCCGTCATGCTCTTCTTCTTCACTATCATCAATTATTGGTTCTTCATTGAGATTTTCCTTGCCTTTTGAATCCGAAGCTACATTATCCTTCAGTTTGTTGTCTTTCTTTGGCTTAACAGTAGGCTTGACAGTCGGTTTGGGGTTTTCCTTCTTGATAGCTTCACAACATTTTCTCCCCTTGTTTTGGAATTGAGCATGATTTCGAAACACCTTCCAATCTATGGAGCATTGCTAACACCTACCTTAGCTTTTTAGAGAGATGCTTTTTAACAGTGATTGTGATCATCGAGTAACGAGTCATGATGATGACTGAAAGAAGAGCATTCACATTCACGATACAACTTTTCATAAATGCCTTTTCAAATAAGAGATCATTGATCCGTTTCTCAGCATTCTCTAGCTTGACAGTGAGAACCTTCACCTTTTCCATTTTTCACTACGAGAGCATCAATTATTTTATTCTTTGTGGCCAAGTCATCTTGAAGCTTTGTAATCTTTGATGAAATGGAGGAATTAAGCTCAACGTTGTTGGTTTGGAGGCTAGTACGAACCACTTCAAGCTTTGTCTTCATTTTGCGAAGTGTGGATTCAAGGCTGGAAATGACTTTCCTCGCAGTGATTGACTCAAATGAGCTCAAAAAAGTTCTCATGAAGGAACGAACATTTGTCATTAGTGTATCGAATTTTTTGGTTGTTTCCTTGCAGACTGAAGATGAAGCATCCACAACTTGATATATCTTCTCAAGATTGATAGTGTGTTCTTTGGTGAGGGTCTCAAGGAAGGATTTGATAGTATCATGAGAATATTCCTCGCTGGTTGAGGTTTGGTGGATTGAAGCAACGAATCCAACTTCTCATTATTGGCCTTGAGCTTCCCTTTGGTGACTAGAGTGTCTTCATCATTTTCAGTCCAAATGTTGAAAGGACTGTAGGTGAATCCTCCAAATATTCGTCATTGCCACCATAGACGATATCTAGATCGTCTTGGCATAAAGGTGAGATAGGTGGAGTAGAATGACCAATTGAGAAACCTGATGCCCCCCCCCCCATATTAGATGCATTGGCAGAAACTGAAGGTTTATCAGTGATAGTGGTTGTAGTGGCAGTTGAATATGTAAATAGAGGGTTAGATTGTGCAACACTGGATTGTGTCTGCAAAACCCCCCATCGAAATAGGTGAACAAGGGGGATGGTGATTGGGGTTGAAATAGTAGAAGTGGGTTAAGGAACAAAAAAATCCTGGAATAAATCTTCGGTGATTGGAACAGAAGTAGGGATTTCAAACGTTACCTCAAGGTTTGTTGAGATTGGCTACGCGACTTGTCGTTGTGAAGAAGCAGTAGTATCCTCTTGTTCGTTTTGAGTTCCTTCTCGAACATGAACCTCCAAAACTATATGTGACTGTGAGTCCTCATGATTACTCAGAGTTGGAGTTCGTGCCCTACAAGCCGCATGCTTGACCTTTTTCATTTTTGGTGTTGTAGGAGGTTCAGATGGACCAACTTTCGCAACCCTTTTCTTTCCTCCTTTCTTGGCTTTGTCCGCCTCGTCAAGGACCTTTTGGATTTCATCGGTGAAAGGGAGAAATCCAGATACAGGTAGACTTCTATAGGTTCGCAGCACGTCACTTGTAGCTGGAACATCTCGAATCATCACTTTAGGAATTGAGCCGATAAATGAAAATTTGGAATTATCAATTCGAATGATGGTGGTGTGAAAGATCTGAATCGCAGCCATACAAGAACCTTCAAGGATAGGGATGTTGAGCTTGTTGATCTCCTTTTGAATGAAAATGGTCTACAAATGAGCAAAGGAGATTTCACTTTGTCGTGTGGTAGAGAGAGTGATTTGGACAAATTGAGCCAGAGAACCGATTCGTAATCCAAATTGATGCTGGAGTAGATGTAATACATCATCGTCATAAATAACTTGGTCGCACAGTAGGAGCATGTAACTCTCTCCAAGAAGCTTTTGAATAGACGTGTGAACAGGCCATTCCACATCGGTGACAAGTTAGGCTTCTTGAACTTGGAAACTACAGTTAATACTTCCTTGTATCCCATCTGGTAGAATATCTCCAGTATGGATGAGTTGGAGATGCTTTCAAGGTTAACCAGGTCACGACCCTAAAGAAGCCTTAGGAGGTTACAAAACCTCTATTTGGTGATTTGGGTTTTCTGGTTTAAGATTTTGAACGTGATTGACTCATCTCCCTTTTGATAACTTGCTGTGAAATAAGCTTTTCATATATGCACCAAGGGAACAATCACTAATTTCACGAGAGCGATAACCAGTTTAGAATACCTTAAGCATTTGACGATTGGTTGAAGAAATCTATCGTATTTGGATGGCTTAAGATCGAGAATCAAGTTTTGATTTGTCTTAAGATTAAGGATCGAGGATTGGGCCATCTTTTCTACTCCAGAAAGTTTTTCTGATGAAGCGGCCATGGAAACTTCATGAAGAAGATGAATAGTAGAGATAGAAATCGCCGATTGTACTGTGAGAGTTTTGAGAGTATAAAGATCAATGAATCGGAAAAAATCTTTTATACCATATGACAGGAGAGAGAGAGAGAGAGAGAGAGAGAGAGAGAGAGAAAATGGTTAATGCTCCGTTTCACTGAAAAAGTTCCTGGAAAAGCGCAAACATGCGGGCGTGCGTCATGCATGCGTCAGGCGGCGTAACTGCTTGCATGATGTAGAAAGGATAATGAACCGGAAGGTAACCAATAGGATAACGAACCAGATTTTTGAAAATCATAAAGATCTTCGTGCAAGAATATGCCAAAGATAATGAAATAAAGCAAGTTTTCTTAAGGATTCTAGTGATGTCATATAAGACATAAAACAGATGGATCCTGGGGAAGGATCTCTTCCTTCGTAGTCTAGAGAGACTTTGAAGTGCTTGTGTGGTGTCCTGTTGAATTACGATTACCTATTTATGGAGGGTACTCTGTGCCGACAAAACCCTCTTGCTTATTCATGTAAACATCCTCAGCCAACTTTCCATTAAGGAAAGCGGTTTTGACATCCATTTGCCATATTTCATAGTCATGAAATGCAGCTATGGCTAACAATATCCTAATAGATTTAATCTTGGCTACTAGAGAAAAGGTCTCATCATAATCCACTCCAGGAGTTTGATAGAAGCCCTTTGCTACCAGTCTAGCCTTATAAGTGTGTACATTACCATCCATTTCGGTCTTCTTGAAGATCCATTTGCACCCTACAGTCTTACGACCTGGCACATTGTCAACCAAGTCCAAACTTGATTGTCATACATGGATTGTATCTTGCTATCCATTACCTCTTTCCATTTATCAGACTCAGGGCCTGCCATGGCTTCCTCATAGCTGTTAGATTCATCCATACCTACTAGTGTCTCATCACTAATAAGTGTCTCACCTTCTGCAGTAATATGGAAACCATAGTAATGCTCATGTACATTCCTAACCCTCGTGGAACGCCTCAGAGGTACAACTGGAGGTATAATTGGGTCAACAGGAGATTCCTCCTCTAGTTGACTGCTAGGGTTTGAGGTTCCTTCACCACTTGACTCTTGAAGTTCTTCAAGGTCAATTAGCCTCCCACTGTCTCCTTGGCTTATGAACTCTCTCTCTCGAAAGACAGCCCTCCTTGCTACAAAGACCACATTCTCGCTAGGTTTGTAGAAGAGGTAACCAAAGGATTTTTGTGGGTAGCCGATGAAAATACACTTCTCGCTTCGAGGTTCGAGCTTGTCATGAGTCTCGCGTCTCACGAAATCCTCACAACCCCAAAACTTGATGTGGGCTAGATTAGGAACTTTTCCAGTCCACATCTTGTGAGGTGTTTTGGCAACCTTCTTTGTAGGGACCAGATTAAGGATATGGGTGGAAGTCTCTAAGGCATACCCCCAAAATGAGATTGGTAGCATAGCTCGACTCATCATGGAATGAACCATATCTAACAAGGTTCGATTACGTCTCTCAGCTACACCATTCAACTGTAGCGTCCTGGGAGGTGTCAATTGTGAGACAATCCCACATTCCCTTCGATAGTCGAGGAACTCAATACTAAGATACTCACCACCACCGTCAGATCGAATCATCTTAATGTTCCTGCCCAATTGATTCTCGAATTCTTATTTAAACTCTTAAAACCTTTCAAAAGTCTCTTACTTATGCTTGATTAAGTAGACATATCCATATCTACTATAATCATCCATAAAAGTTACATAATAACGATTAGCATCCCTTGTGGCATGTTTGAAGGGTCCACACACATCCGTGTGTATAAGATCCAACAAACCTTCACCCTTATCACAAGAACCAGTGAAGGGTGACTTTGTTATTTTTTCAAGTAAGCATGATTCGCAACTATCATCTGACTTTAGGTCAAATGACTCCAAAACTCCATCCTTTTGGAGTTGGCCTATGTGTTTCTTGCTTATATGTCCAAGACAACAATGCCATAATGATGTTTTATCCAAGTTATTATTAGTATTAGTAGAATCAATACACAATACATTATTTCCTAAGTTATCTACAACATACACAGCTTCATACACACCATCACAAGGTAATGCTTTAAAATAAAACACATTATTAAAGAAAGCATTTATTCCACCAGTTTCATTATCAAAAGAAAAGGTAAAACCTTGTTTATACAAAGCATGAAAAGGAAATAACATTTCTTGCCATTTCTAGCGAATAACAACATTTATTCAAATCTAAAGTAAATCCACTACTAAGCAACAAAGTATATACTCCAATCTTGGTGACAGGTGAAACTTTCCTATTCGCCATGATCAAGTTTATCTTTCCATGCTCCACATTCTCATTTCTTCTTAGTCCCTGCAATTCAGAACAAATATGAATACTGCAACCGGTATCAAGGACCCAAGAGTTAGAATAGAGTGAATTATTATATGAGATAGTGTAAATACCTGCATGGTTGGGTTTAACCTTCCCATCCTTCACGTCTCGCTGGTACTTTGGGCAGTTACGCTTCCAGTGCACCTTTTTGTGGTAGTAGAAGCATTCAGCCTCTTTGGGATCAGAAGAAGGTGTAACAAAACCTTTCTTGGTTCCGCTAGAAGAGGAGCCATCAAGGGACTTACCCTTGGTACCCTTCGAAGGGTTCTTTCTCTTCTTCCCTCTACGTTTCCCGATTGCCAAGACAGGTGCTGAGTTCGGAGTAGTAGCAGGAGTGGTCACAACCGACTTTCCTTTAAGACCTAATTATGCGGTCTTTATGAGTCCCGGAAGTTTGCTAAGTGTAACTTCCTCCTTATTCATGTGGTATGTCATGCGGATTTGATCATAACACGAAGGTAAGGAGTACAAAATAATATCTATTGCTAACTCCTCAGGGAAGTTCACATTCAACTTCATCAATCTATCCACATACCTTTGCATTTTCTGCATGTGGCTTGTGATGGGTTCACCATCTTTCATCCGGGTTGTGATCATGGAGGAGATGATTTCATATCGCTCTTGACGAGCACTCTGAAGGTAGCGGTCCATCAAATCCTGGTGCATCTCAAAAGGATAGTAGTCCTCATAGGACATTTGGAGCTCGGCTGTCATGGTGTCCATCATGATGCATGCCACTTTGGTTGCATCTCTTTCATGTGCCTTATATTCAGCAAACTCCTCAGCAATAGCAGTTGGCTCGGGCACCTTGAG